GCGTGATAAGATCAGGGTCTCCACCGAACGTCCGGATGTTTCGCTGTACCCACTTTACTGCCTCCAGTTGATCGAGTAGACCGGCATTACCAGGGGCCTCTTGTAGGCCTACGTACAGAAATCCAAACACACTAACGCGATAGTTCATCGACACGAGGATGACGTTTTCCTCTGAGGCCAGAATCTTACCGTCGTACACGTCTAACGACGACGTTCCTGACCAAAATCCTCCTCCGTAAATCCACACCATCACCGGTAGTTTGCGCTTGGCATCAAGTCTTCCAGGTACCCATACGTTTAAGTAAAGGCAGTCTTCGTCGAGCGGCGTATTCGGATTCCACATCTCGGCGCCGCTGAATCCCTTGAAATAGCTGTCCGGAGTCTGCAGACAAGACTTGGAGTATCTAGTGACGTTCAAAGGCAACTTCCAAGGAGATTTCGGTCTTGGCAGGCGGAAGCGAAGCTCGCCGACCGGAGGTTCCGCGTACGGAATGCCTAGAAACTCGGTCACCGTTTTGCCGGTCTTGCTGCGGCTAACTTTGCCCACCAAAGGACTGCCGTCACTCAGGTACAAGACCGGAGTTAGGCGTTCTTCACCGTTCTGTTGCTGGCTCACAGCCGGTGCAAGGATGTAGAGGACGTACAGCAGCCACTGACTGCAGAACCAGTCGGTCACTGACATGCTGCAACCAATATTCTGCAACCAGCCAAGTATGATGGACAGTGGACAGCGATTAACAAGCAACGGACACCGGAAACGAGGTGCGCACCATCCGGTAACACAGAGTCCAGCTATCAAGCGCACATACAATGCGTTCGTGCGAACTTCTTTCTGCTTTGTTGTGTTCTTTGAATGACCAGAATTAGTCGATAACCGCTTCCTGCACGACAAATGCGGCGGGCGCGGTGGCAGACAAGCGGCAAGAGGCAAGAAGCGAGAGTCACCCAGCCAGCGAAGGAGCGGCAGCCAAGCGAAGAGGGGGACGTAAGTGACGGCTTGTGTCCGCTGCTGATCGTTCGTGGGTGCGCCAGGCTCGGATGGCGCGTTTTCTGCTCTTCGATGACGACTGGCCTGCGCGATAGCCTTCTTCGAAATCTGACAGCCAGCGACCGCCCAGTAAAGAGGAAAAATTGCGATCTGTCAGAAACAGCGGCAAGCAGCAGGTGGCCGACGCGATTCGCCTCAGCGCCACCTCAAAGAAGTGGTCGTCGCGTCGGTGGCGGTCTGCCTTTTGCTTATGCTTCAACTCTACG